TTTATATATTTTCCTCACACATTTATTATTCATTTATTTATAACGTTTATTTCAAATTATATCCTACTGGGCCTTTCGCTCACGTTTTATATTTTAAATGTATTAAACCCCTCCCAAGAGACTCTAGGAACGGTGCACAGTAGCTGGATATTGCTACGGAGCAGCTGAGTTGTGCTGCTGTTGGAATCAAGTGAGGATTGTGGTCATCCTCTGATACAAATGTAAGGAATTTGAAAAATTCTGTAAACTTATGTAATATCCAGATTAACTAGACTGTGGTTGATGTCTGTTGTAATGATTATTTACATGAACATGTATGTACGATACTGTATGTCCTGTGGGGTGGAGCCCTGTGTGTCAGAGGCTCCTGGGTTCTGTAATTTATTTAATGCAGTTAAGTGTAGGACCCGGTCTGGGAATCTGCTTTATTAATCCCTAATCGAGCTCCACGTCACCCACCCCGTTTGGGGGGCGTGACAGGAGTGGTATCAGAGCCCTAGGTTAAGAAGCCCCATGATTGTACATACATGTGTGACATCTGTAACCCACTGAATAGTCTAGTTTTATTTCAGTTAAAGGAAATGGCGCTTCGCCGCAGGCCTGCTAATCAACCGGCACAACAGAATCAGGGATTTCTGGATGCCATGTATGCTGCCTTTCAAGGCATGGCAACAAGAGCTCAAAATGAGCGGCCAGTTGAGGATAGGAAGGAAGGTTATTTCTGGGAATTTAGGCGTGCGCCTATCCCCTCGTTTAATAGTGAGGGAGGACCCCAGGAAGCAGAGTTCTGGTTAGACTCCATGGTCAAGCATTTGAGTACTATGGGAGTTCTAGATGAATACTGGGTGGAATTTGTAGTGTACAAGATGGAGGGCTTAGCGAATACTTGGTGGAAACAGGTCAAGAGAAGAATGGATGTTACAGGATTGACCTGGGAACAGTTTGAGACACTGTTTAATGAGCAATACTTCCCTCAGAGTTATAGGGAGGAAAAAACGATGGAATTCATGTCTCTGCTGCAAGGTGACATGTCTGTAAGGGAATATGAGGCCAAGTTTAATGACCTATCCCGGTTTGCGCCATCACTAGTGGAGTCTGAACCCATGAGGTTTCTTAAGTTTGAGAAGGGTCTCAAGAATTCTGTGAGGAGGTCATTGGTGGCCTTAAGGATTCGGAACTTCCGGGATTTGGTAGCTGCTGCTACACGGGTGGAACAAGATAACTTGGCCTATCACCAAAGCAAAGAGGCAACTGGTCGAGTCTTTGTCTCTGGTAGACCTTCCGTTTCGGGTGGACCACAGCGGAGTGGTAGGAGAAACCGCAACTAGGGACAAACGGCTGGGGAAATGACAAGCAGTGGCAGCAGTTCGTCCGAAAGTGACAGAAATGCTCCGTACGGGCCTAGGTGTCACCATTGTGGGCAGGTGGGTTATATTAGGAGGAATTGTCCTAATCGACCGCCGGTTCAACAAGCCCAAAGTGATGCTTCGTACAGTCAAGAAGGGCCACCACCGTACATGCACCATATCAACCACAACAGATGCAATACCCTCATGTGCTGACTTATCAACCACCTCTGCTTACACAATTCTGGCCTCAAGCGCCGAGACCGGTACAACCACCTCCGCCACAAAAGAATAGGCCTCCGACCCAGCGGCCTAATGTTGGTGATAGAGGGAAAGGAAAAGTACAGGGACAAGCTTATGCCCTGGCAGGAGTCAGTTCTGGAGGTCAGACCAGCAACGCGGTGGTTGAGGGTACGATTCTAATCTCTCACTCTTTTGCTCACGTGTTGTTTGACACAAGTGTCACACACTCGTTTATATCAAGTTCTTTTGTTCGGGCTTTCAAATTGAAATCTGAGAATTTAGAAGTCCCAATGACTTTGAACTCTCCACTGGGATGTGTGGAGGTAATGAGTGTGTGTAAATTGTGTGAAATCACGATTGGCAGTGAGCGATTGAGAGCAGATTTGATTATCCTTTCGATGAGCTTGTTTGATGTGGTCCTCGGAATGGATTGGTTATCGGAATACGGAGCAATTGTTGATTGTTACCGTAGGAGAGTGACTCTGATGACTAAGTCTGGAACAGTGATTTCTTATCAGGCAGATCTGAATCCAGTCTTAGGAGAACGACTGTTGAAGTACAGTGTTGGGGGACGGAGGAATCTAGCATGTTTTTAGTACGGGAATCCCTGTAGTGGATGAGTTTACAGATATATTTCCTGATGAGCTACCTGGTTTACCGCCAGATCGGGAAATTGAATTCTGTATTGATTTAGTTCCGGGAACGGCACCTATTTCCATTCCTCCATACCGGATGGCCCCGGCAGAGATGAAAGAATTAAGAACGCAGCTTGAGGAGCTGGCAGAAAAGGGGTATATCCGGAATAGTACTTCCCCTTGGGGTGCACCGGTGTTATTTGTGAAGAAGCATGACGGATATCTTCGGTTGTGTATTGACTACCGTCAATTGAATAGGGTAACTGTGAAGAACAAATACCCACTGCCAAGGATCGATGAATTATTCGATCAGTTGGGTGGATCACAGTTCTACTCTAAGATTGATTTGAGATCTGGGTACCATCAGTTGAAAATCAAGGAGGAAGACATTCCGAAGACCGCATTTAGAACTCAGTATGGGCATTTCGAGTTTCTGGTAATGCCGTTTGGGTTTACGAATGCCTCGGCTGCATTCATGGATCTAATGAACCATGTTTTCTGGCCGTACTTGGATCAGTTTGTGGTCGTCTTCATTGACGACATACTGGTTTACTCGAAGACCTGGGAAGAACATGCGCAGCATTTAAGAATTGTCCTTCAGGCTCTTCGAGAACACCAGTTGTATGCTAAGAAGGAGAAGTGTGACTTCTGGCTGACAGAAGTAAGGTTCCTTGGGCATGTGATCTCAGGACAAGGAATTTTTGTCGATCCTTCCAAGATCGAGACTGTGCTACAGTGGGAGAGGCCGAAGAATGTAGCGGAGATTCGCAGTTTCCTCATACTTGCAGGGTATTATCGGCGTTTCGTGAAAGACTTCTCGAGTATTACTGTACCGCTGACTCGGTTGACCAAGAAAGAAGTCAGATTTCAGTGGGATGCTGAGTGTGAAAATGCTTTTCAGGAACTGAAGGTCAGACTAACAAGTACACCAGTCTTAACTATTCCTAATAGTGAAGAACCATATGAGGTGTACTCTGACGCATCGGGAAGTAGGCTTGGTTGTGTCTTAATGCAGGACGGACGCGTGGTAGCATACGCATCTCGTCAATTAAGACCACATGAATAGAATTATCCCACTCATGATTTGGAACTGACAGCGGTAATATTTGCTCTGAAGATATGGAGATGTTATCTCTATGGAGCAAAATTTCAGGTCTTCTCTTACCATAAAAGTCTGAAGTACTTGTTTCCTCAGAAAGACTTGAATCTCAGGCAAAGGAGATGGGTGGAGTATATGGAAGATTATGACTTCACTCTGCAATATCATCCTGGAAAATCTAATGTGGTGGCTGATGCCCTTAGTAGGAAGACGACGGGGACTCTGGCATCATTAGCTTTGAAAGATTGGAAAAGGACTAAAGTGGTGAGTGAGTATGATCTTCAGTTCTACGAAGATCATAATCAGGCTATGGTGTATAATCTGGTCTCTACACCGGATATTGTGCAACAGGTTAAGCAGAATCAATGGCAGGATCCACACCTCCAAGGAATTTGGATTCGAATCTAGAATGGAGAACAATTCGAGGATTGGAGAATCCGAGAGGATGGAGCCTTGTATTTCTGCAACCGCCTTACTGTTCCTAAAGCGGGTGAGGTAAAGAAGACGATTCTGCAAGAGGCACACAAATTGATGTATGCTATACATCCGGGAAGTACAAAGATGTACCAGGACCTAAAAAGACAGTACTGGTGGAGAGACATGAAAAGAGACGTTCGTGAGTATGTCTCAGAATGTGTGACTTGCCTCCGGATTAAAGCTGAGCATCGGAAGCCAGCAGGAGAGTTACAACCTCTTCCTGTCCCTGGATGGAAATGGGAGCACATCACTATGGACTTTCTGATGGGGCTACCGAGAACCGAGCTGAAGCACGATGCCATCTGGGTGGTGGTGGATAGGTTAACGAAGTCTACGCACTTCATACCGTTCCGTACGATGTATTCTCAGAAGATTCTGTCTGAATTATACCTGGAGCACATCGTGAGACTACACGGAGTGCCACTGTCTATCACGTCAGATCGTGATACCCGTTTTAATACAAGGTATTGGAGGAGTTTCCAGGAAGCCATGGGAACAAACTTGAAATTCAGCACAGCATTTCATCCTCAGACTGATGGGCAATCTGAAAGGGTAATTAAGATTCTGGAGGATATGCTTCGTGCTTGTGTTCTGGAATTTGGCGGGAACTGGAAGAAATACCCACATATAGCTAAGTTTGCTTATAACAACAGCTATCATGCCAGTATTGGAATGGCACCGTTTGAAGCTCTGTATGGTCGTCCTTGTAGGTCACCTGTGTGTTGGTTGGAACCAGAGGATCGACTGAGTACTGGACCGAAAGTCATTCAAGAGAATAATGAGAAGATAGCTGTGATTTGGGAACGACTATTGACAGCTCAAAGTCGTCAGAAGAGTTATGCTGACAGAAGGCATAGGCCTTTGGAATTCCAGGAAGGCGACTTTGTTTTGCTGAAGGTTTCCCCACGCAAGGGAGTTGTTCAGTTTGGTGTGAAAGGGAAACTTGCACCAAGGTATGTGGGACCATTCCCGATCGTGCAACGAGTCGGAGTGGTGGCTTACCGATTGGCCTTACCGCTTGAACTATCTCACATGCATGACGTGTTTCATGTCTCCATGTTTCAGAAATGTCAACCTGAGCCGGAAACAGTAGTACAGTGGTTTGACGTTCCGATACGGTATGACGCGTCGTACGAGGAGGCACCAGTTCAGATTCTTGACCGGAAGATAAAGAGTCTGCGTCATCGTAAGATTCCCTTAGTAAAAGTATTATGGCAGCACCATGGAGTTGAGGAAGCGA